TACATCCAGATGTTATCTGATTTCTTTGAATCAGACAATTCACTTGGATGTTTTGAATCATTAGTTACTTCAGTTGAAGCGCGTCTTTCTGTGCCCCTAGGACTCTACAAGGTTGTGTAGACAAAGCAGTTGGTAATATTTTCTTATCAAATAAGCTCTCCAAATGACTCCGTTGGGTCTGTTTTCCATCTCACCCAGCAAAAGAGGAGCTCTTGTGTGAAACCTTGTGACATACAGTAAAATACAAAAAAGAAAAAAAAGACTTTTCTTTTTCTCATTTTTAACATTTATTTATTTTTTTTAACTTAAGAACATATTAGTTGATTTGGATTGTTCGAAAAATGTCAAAGCTTTTACACTTTATCCAAAACTGCTCTGGAAAACACAGCGGACAATATGAGTGTTACTGTTTCAATTATATACAAATTTTGGTACTTAATGGTAAAAATATATATATCAAATGTCATAGATCTGTAATGCCTTAACTGCAAAAACTAAGTATGGAAAATAGCACACTCATTTAATTATAAAATAAGTAGAAAACTCACAAAAAGCATATTGTATGGAGCACTGGCAGAGTAACGGTGCAGAAGAAAAGGCTGAAGAATGACAATGATGCAGGTGAGTTAATCAGGGGGATTTGGAACAGCTGCAGAGGACAGGAAAACAGGGAGGCAGAGGAATGGTATAATTAACACAGACAGATGTTAACTAGACACAAGGAAAACTACACAGCTACTGTGGAAAAAAGTCTAACACTAATCTTAGACTATAAGCTAAAATACAACACAAAAATAAGTAAGAAACTTCAAGGAATGAGCCTGTCTGGCAACACCTTACTAACAATAACAGACACAGATGAATTAGCTCAAGACGGCAAGACCTTTCAAACTTTAACAAACATTCAAAGAAATGATCAAAAGCATATCAAACACCTGAAAACAATGTCCCAAAGACCATTATTTTTAACTTGTTCATTTGGCTTAAAGCTTACACCATTAATACAGAAAAAAGTCAGTTTTTTTCTTGGAAAAAAAAAACAACTTTGAAAAATAAAGTTAGCTCATTCTCATGGAAAACTTGAATGCACGTGACATTTTATAAGTTAAACAAAGGCTTCTTTTTCTCATTTGAGAAAAATTCCACTTTGGACAGTGAGGAAATGAGCATTTTAAGTCCCAATGACAATTTTCAAGCAAGCAGACTTACTGAAGGGAAGCTCTAACCATGAATTGAGATCAACGCAGAGTTAGGGAAGTAGTCCCCCTCATGGTTACCAGGTGCATGATAAACTTTAGGAGGATAGAGCACAGTGTGCCATCTCTCCATGTCTAAGTTTGCTGATTTGCACGTGTGTGGCCAGCTCACTGTGTAAGCTCGCTTTTCTCTTTGCATGTGTCTGTTGTCGTGTCTCTAATTATGGATTACAGAAAGCCATAATGATTGTGTTAGTATACGCTGACGCACAGGACCCGTCACTTTACAGACGCTGAGAGTTTGTGACTGGAAGAGCTGCAGCTGAATTAAATGCACGACTCAGAGCAAGGAGCTCACATGGCATCACAGGGTGTGTTCGCCAGATTTTTGGTGTGTGTGACACAGGTGGGGTGATGGCTACTCACTTCCTTCAACAGGAAATCATAAATGCACCCACTTAGCTTTAACCTTGCCTCTTCCTCTCATCTAATGACTGCCATACTCCCTCGATGTCCTGTAGGAGAATGAAATGGCAAGCCGAGTCTTTATTGTCCTTCACATTGTGCTCATGAAATTCATACATTAAAGGGTGGAAATGAGACAAACAGTTACTTTGTGAGTTTTACAGCAGTGTCCAGCTGTTTTTATGGGCAGAAATGAAAAATAAAAAAAAAAGGAATTTGCTGTAAAAACTTTGGGAGGCTGCTCAGTAAGCTGGAAAACAGGTCTGGCTTTCTAAAGAGGGGCCAGTGCACCTGCACTGGAAGACATGAGGTGGAAAGAGCACCAGGAGCAGATGAAGAATGAGAAAGCATGGAGCAGTGAAATGTAAAATATGCAGTGAATGTGGGGAAGTTTACTTAATGTCTACTTTCCTGCAGTGGGTTTGCCTTTCAAGTTAAAAATGCCAACATCTGTACCCTGAAGGAGATATTCCATTACAGTTTGGGATCTTCCTGAAATGTCTTTTCTGTTGTGTAGGTGATTCCCCCATCACTTGTCTTAAACATGACATGTATTCATTCAAATCCACCTCGGGGAAAATGTTATACACCTCAAAGAAAGACCACATGCATGCAAAAATTAAACGTTTTTACTTAGAAGAATATTCTGAATGTCGTGCAGCTATTGATTTGAGCAGGAATATTGGAAATTCAGAACCAGGTTGATGAGAAACCTTGTACATGTTAACTTGATTAAAATGAGCAGCAAATGAAGTTGCTTTAATGGTTTTCTGTTTTTCTAATTTTTATCTTTTGCTGTAAAACTTTTTTTTTAGTTAATCACTAGATACAGTGGCGTGAAAAGTAGTTTTATTGTCTTTTGCTGTATTTATTTATCTATTTTCCCTTACAGATTTTTACATGTTTTACCCCTTTAAACTTCAATGTAGCAGATAAAAATGAATGATAAATTCAGTCAAAGAGAATATGAGGCAATATAAAAAACAGTTTTCAAAAATTTGTGTTTATTTATGGACAAAAGTATCCAAATCAAGCTATGTGAAAATGTAGTTTCCCCTTGTTGAAACATGAATGACCCCTGCCTGACTACTGAGAGATCTTTAGAATAAAAAAATACTTAACCCTCCCGGGGTTTTAAGAGATGGGTGGACGGTCATTTAGACCCCACAAGTTATTTACCTACTGAGTGCGCTTTTACAATGTTTTTTATTTGTGTGGTTTCATAAATTGATGGTCTGATGCGACAAATCCATCAGACCGTGGGATGAGATTGTCCCATTACAACATGGTCACCGACAGCAGGAACACTGTCATTTCCCACTGAGTGTTGTGCTAAGACTGTGGGATGGTTAAATAAGACTAGCATATCGTGGGGTAACCCAAGCTGTCACTGCATTAAATTGCATGCTTGCGGACGAGAAAAAATAATAATAAAAAACACCAAAGATTGCACAAATTTGTTATATTTAGCTTTTGTGTTGTACTTTATGGTGAATGTAGTGTTTCTTGGGAGCTTGCTTTTGGCAGGAAGCATTACCAGATACTATTGTTTCCATCTCATCTTCATAACACTCTTTAGCCGCCATGTTATACATGTTTGAGAAATCCTTGAATCTCCCACAGCATCCCCAAATGATTGCCATGGGAGCACTTCATGCAAAACTCTGTCTATTTACCCAGAGTTCTTCCTTGGAGCTTCAATCCCAAGCTAACTCCATATCCTGGCATCTACAGTCATCTTCTGTGTCTTGTTATAAGTTCAGTTGTATTACTTTGAAGAGAGTGGAAGTCATCTTTCCCACAGAGTTTTGGGTTTTAATTGTTTTTCTTTTTGAGATACAATCATATGCATTTACATTCTGGGGAAAGAAAAGTAAGATCACATCACCAGCTGAACCTGAAGTCCTGAGTTCTCCTTCCAACATTTGACTAAATCCTACACTGCTGGCAATATAAAGTACAATAGACTAAACAAATTGAAGAACAGATGAAGAACAGCCTAATTTACATCTTTCAGTCTAGCCATTTCTAATTATTTAGATTCCTGCAAACCACAAAGAGAGCCATTATCCACAAATTGAGAAAAGATGGAACAGTGGTAACCCTACCAGGAGAGGCTGGCCTATCAAAATTACTCAGAGAGGATGGGCAACTGACTCATCAAAGAGGTCACAAAAGAACCCAGGACAACATCCAAAACAGCACATTTACTTTCCTTAATGAAGTCATGACTCAACGATATAAAAGCACACCAGGTGAAAAACCACTGCTTGTGGACTCAATTGGTGCACCGAGTTAGGCCTGTTCATAGTAATTCAAAATGTGATAAAATACAAGTGCTGGCAAACAAAGGACTGGAAAAAGGAAATAAACAAGGTATATGGGTTAGAGAAACTGTAAAGTATAATGTGTAGTGAAGTTCACACAATTTGATCACCCGATAACCAAGATTTCTATAAATATTTTGGACGCGCCAAAGCAATTCCAGACTAAGAGTACCACTGTTCTCACACGCCATACAAACTTTAGGAAGAATTATTACCGAATTTTATTACATTCGTATGTTAAATCAAGACAGTACAGCAAAAGGAACTATTACTCTTTCTATGTAACTGTTTCTATGCGATTATGATTCTAATTTATCAAACACTGCAGAATAGCAAAGTTTTGCTGAGTTCTTGAGAAAACAAAATTTAAATTAAAATAACCTGGATGTGAGATTCATCATTTCACATGAGGTTATACATTGAGAAATTGATACACTCCTGAATGATTCTATATAGGCAAACATTTTTCACCCTGGGGATGTCCTGGTGTGACTTAAGTGGAACAAAGGTAAGGGAGGGGGCTTCCTGGTGGCGGAGGATGAACTGGAAAGCAGGGATGTGGCAATAAGAATGACGAGGCAGTGGGGATGGGGTACAGCAAACATGGAGCCCCCAACTCATGAGAACCAGATGAAGGGCAGACCGGATGGCTCTCTGGGGCTCTGTGAAAGAAAAAAGAGAAAGGGAAAAAAACGACTCATAAAACTGTCAGAATCCGCTTGCATCTCTCTATCATGGTTCAGTGTTCGCCAGATGCGTTGCTTTTAATGCAACGCTTCGCGAATGTTTCTGTCATCAGCCAATGTATATGTCTATTAGTGAAGTCTGGTACTGACTTGGAGTCTGCCATCTTATATCAGGTCCTCACTAAGTTTGAAAGACAATAATTAATTTTCATACAAAATATTATAAACCCACATGAGCTTTAGTTATTTCATGCCTCACAAAGGACAACTCCAGTTGGTCTGATTTGGGAATGCTGTCTTATTTTTGATTCTGTGCTTTTTTGCAGTGGAACATGATAAGGAATTTTTACCTGTGCGACGGCATCATCGAGAGTTCAGATTCGATCTGTCGCGAATCCCAGAGGGTGAAGCCGTCACCGCTGCCGAGTTTCGTATTTTCAAAGACTTCATCCATGAAAGCTACGATAATGAGACCTTCCGCATCAGCGTCTACCAGGTGTTGGAGGAACATTCTGACAAGTGAGCTCCATTGTGTGGTTTTGTGATGAAATGATGTCCAGGATTTTAGATCTCTGTTTCTTGAGCAATGTTTTATTTTTTATTTTTTCACTATCATTTAACAATTTTACTTTACCCCTAAAATATGTTTGTCCATACTGTACCTCCAGGATAATGGATGTATTATAATGATTTAGATTTCCAAAAAGAGCATATGAGACTGGCAACTACTGCCTAAACATCTCTAAAAATTGTTCTCACAAAGTTTCATTTAGCAAATAGAAATAATTTGTTAAATCTAACTAACCTAAAACAGGAGAACTTTGATGTGGTCGTGCAAAAAATAAATACATAAAAAAAAAGTGCTGCATGTAAACTGTGGAGACAATTACATAAAGAGTCTCTTTATAGAGTTTCTCTACAGTGAAGCTTCCTTAATTTTTTTCATCATGTCCTCACATTTTCCTAACTGTTTCACAATTGAAATTGAAACAGGTGAAATAAATTAGTGAGGAAAGAATCAACTGTGGCAAAGAAACCATGAGCTGCCATCATTGTAGAAAATATTTAAGTGTAGCAATGCTTTAACCTGGCTCAGGATCTCATTCTTTTACATTTTGGTGTAGTTAATGTTGATAGCAGTGGCCACCTTCTGGTGAAGCATAGCTATTACGGCATTTATATTATTAGAAAACACCAATAGTGCCATTGTAAAGGTTTTCCAAACTCTAATCTTTGGAAATAATAACAGTCGAAAAGGAAGTAATAGTTTTGATGGGAAGGATGAACAGCTTGGTGGATTTCACAGCCAAAGGTTATAAATCAAAGACCCCAATTTGATAACTGTGTAATTATTTAGGTCTTCTGTAACTTTAGACCATTGCAGTCATATTAGTTGTTGGCTATTTTCAATAATAATAAAAAAAGACTTTGTTTCATTTTTCAAACATTTAATTTTGTGTTACAATTGACTTAAATGGATTTCCTCTTGGGGTTTCAGTGAATATAATATTTGCAAACTTCACATAATGCAACTCCTACAAAATAACGCATTTAATTATAATTAAGGTATCAAAGCTTTGATTTTTGGCAAAGTTTTACATGAAGCATTTCTGAATTTCTGAACTAAAGGCTTTGCCAGAAGCTCAGCTGCTTGGGCCTTTCGTTTGTCTGGAGGGAACAACACAGTCATTTATTCCTCTGCCAGGGAAAGGCTTGTATACATGAATGGACCAGGACTCTGTGACACACTATCTGCTCAGTCAGAAAATAGGTCAGGATGCATGAATGCCCAAATGAAGAACAAAGGATTTTACTTTCAAATGGCGAAAGATTAGGAACCACAAAGTTTGACAATAGCATCAACTTTAATCTATACTATTTCCTTCGCTACTTTTCTCTGTTTTTTTTTTTTTTTTGTTCCTTTTTCACAGCTGTGTTTTTTTTGTTTCTCCCTTTCTTCCCTGTATGCTTTCTGGTTCGCCCACTGAATTCCAGTCTGTGATGGACTGTGTGTACCATATAAATGGACCGCCCGTTTATAAAGCTATTATTGTCAATTAAGAAAATGAAGTGCTCCCCTGGGCCTCACCATCTGGAGCCCTCCTCACCTCCCTCCATCACTCTTTGTTTCGCTTTGACACACTAGTATAGTCCTCTCACTCTGTACATTCCATGACTTTTTGCTTCAGTCAGTCACTCAGTTACAATTTCTTTCCACAAGACTGTCCATATCTAACTTCTAACTTTATTTTTTCTGTTTCCCTTCAGAGAATCAGATCTCTTTCTGCTAGATTCCAGGGTGATCTGGGCAGCAGAGGAGGGTTGGTTGGTATTTGACATCACAGCCACCAGTAACCATTGGGTGCTGAACCCCAGCAGAAACCTCGGCCTGCAGCTTGCCCTGGAGACCGCAAACGGTAAGAGACATTCATGTCAGATAAATCTGTTACATAACGTGATTTTTGCACAGTGACATGTTAAAAAAAAGCAAAAGAAACAGAAAAAGGAACAGGAGAAAAAAAAATATAAAATGTCTGCTGGCAGATTTATAAAGAAAACATCTGTGGAAAGAGAGTTTCACACCTTTGCAGACAATTGTGCATGATTGCTGCGGTTGGCTCTGAACTATTATAAAGAGCAGTAAGCTGCACAGAAACATCTTTTAATAATCCACTCTATTTGTTAACATAAAAAAGTTTGAAACCAAGACACATTTTTGAAACATTTATGAACAAAAACAAACTGCTTTTGATGAAGTGTTATGGTGGTTTTGGTTTTCCTGTGTTTTTTTTTCTTCATGTCCTGTTGTTTTTCTTTTTTCTGTTTATTCTTGTTTTTTGAAAAGTGCTTCATACAGTCTCGTTGCATGTTATAAATTGTCTTTTTGTGTCACCAAACTTTTCCAAGTGTGGAATTTTAGATTACATTAAAAAAAATCTATTTTATTGTTGTTTACCTAGTTATCCTCTCTTATCTTCATGTATTTATTACTTCAATTTTTTAAGAACTGTGGGCTTCATTGACAATAGAATAACATATTATTAAAAGCAGCTAGGAAAACTCATGATTTGGCTTTTGTCTTTGGGACCCAAATTCAGAGTGGGGCAAAAAACAGGCGTGCAAAAAGGAATGAATGAGCCTTTCATGAAATAAGCAAACACAAAACATGGAGCCACAAGGAGGATGTGTCATGTGAAAGGAAACACAGAAAAAATCAACTAACTCAAGAAAAATTGGCAGAGACCAGGCCAGGCTCTAACAGTATACATGACAGTAGCAAAGCAGACTGGACAACATGAGAAGCTTAAATGGTGAGGCAAAAGGTTTGTCTATTTTCTGGATGAGGAAAAGCTGAAGAAGAGCAGGAAGGTGAGGCACCTCGGGATATGAACTCTCTAAATGAAATGAAACTGAAAGTTGTTTATGCAACAAAACACAGGCACACCACAGTCCGTCTGTCCACCGGTCCATCCTCCATCTTTACCCACTTTTTCTTGTAGGGTCGAGGCAATCACATCTCTCCAATCCTCACCCTGGACACGCAGCCCGTCTATCAAAGGACAACAAAGACACACATAGGACAAACAACCATTCATACATAGTCATACCTAAAAGCAATTTTAGAGAGACCAATTAATCTAACAGTCATTTTTCTTGGATTATAGAAAACAGAAAGATCTGGATTTGAATCCAGGATCTTCTTGTGACAAGACAAGAGTACTACCAACCCTGCCAACTTGCAGGCATTCTGAGAAAGACCAATAAAATCTCTGTAGTGTCTCATCAAGTCTTTCACAAGAACTTTTACACTGAACCATGATTCATTTTAAAGAGAATGTGATTAAAAAGTAGGAAATGGAATATCATTCACTGTGTCTGTAGCTATGCATTAAAAATATTCACATTCCTCATCAATTCAGCACTGCCTTCTTAAACTTGTTTCCATATTGTCTGATATTATTATTAATCTTGCCTGAGATTAAAATGGGCAGATCTGAAACATTCCTATATGACAAAGAAAGCAAATTCAGAAGAAATCTGAAAGGAGGCTAAAAGTTTTTTGTTATGCTATATTTATATTGTGAGCTCTGGGATGTACTCAAACATTCTTTAATTAATTGACATGTTTTTATTTGTAATGCTATTTGTTTTGTGAGGCTGAGACAGAGCATACATAGAGGGAAGGGCTTTTGCAGATTAAATGAAAAGGGAAAGGAAATATTGCGAATGTCCATGGCAGTCAGTGCAGATAAAAATGAAAATCTCATGTTCAGTTAAATCGAGACGACAATTTTACTATTACTTGAATGTTCTTGTAAACAGTGCTAAGAGAAAAGGCGCCTAAATATGTTTGCCCTAAACTATTTATCTTTTTAAGTGAGAGTAGTAACCAGTTTCTACTTAGTAGACTATAAAATGTGCTCCGAATAAACATTTCTAAGAGCTCCAGCTGTGCTCAAGTGTAAACCTAACAAACCCAAGTGAGCTGAATCCATCGTAGCACAGTCCAACAAACATGAGGGTTAGCGTTACAACACAACTCAGATGAGTTGTCTGTGCGTACACAGAGGAGATGTATCAGTCGGTGCCTTTCATCTGTCATCACCTCATCATTCATCAACGTCATCATCGGTCATACCAGCAGCATCATTAGCAGGCATGCGGAAAAATACCCTGTGTTATCTTAGTAGGCATTAGTTATCTGGAGGCACAAATATTTTGCCTCCAGAAAACTTTCTCAACAAACAGCCTTCAGTGCAAGACAATGTACAAAACGATATCTTTGGTAGGGATGACAGGATGTTACATGTTAGATGAGGAAAACAGACACGATACTTCTTTCAAGTTGTGCAAAGGGTGGGCTGGGCACGTTGGATTCATCTGCGCGTGATTGTAGGTTAGACTGGGTAGGAAGCTTTATAGGGGAGCGTGTACAAACAAGTGCATACGATCTTCTGTCGCCAGTAGTGACTGAACAGAAGGTAGAGAAGGGATGAGGGCGGGAAAAAGAGAAAGGAATTCACAAAAAGAGAACCTCGCTTGTAAAGCCATCCAAAGTTTAATTGAGGAAAGGATCACATAGGAGATAAGAGAAAAGCACAGCAGTTATTTTAGAAACTTGAACATTAAACTTTTCCGAATAAGATGATATGTTGACGCGTGTAGCATTGTTGTATTTTGTTGCCCAAACAGGAGAGAGTATTAATCCTCGTGTGGCTGGGCTAATTGGTCGCACTGGACCTCAGAGCAAACAGCCCTTCATGGTGGCCTTCTTCAAAGCAACTGAAGTGCACCTGCGTAGCATCCGCTCGGCTTCTGGAGGGGGCAAACAACGCAACCCCAACCGGTCCAAAGGAGCAAGGAGCCAAGAGGCTCTCAGAGTGGCCAATGTTGCAGGTAAACATAGAAAGTTTCTGTTTGTTATGTAGACTATAATGCAAATTTATGGACTGAAATATGCATGTCCATTAGTTTTTTGCAATTAAAGATATTTTTACAATTTTAAGTTTTTTTGCAATTTGTTTCCTTACAGCCATTTGTTTATTTTACATAATGTAACTCATAGCTAATGGAAGAAAAACATTTATTTTTTATATGTAAATTAGTATTTACCCTCTATAATAATTACCCTTTGCTTTGTTTACATCTGCAATTCCTTTAAGGTATGTCTACCAGCTTTCTACAATTAAAGACTACTGTTTTTTGCTTCTTCTTCTTCTATTTCAAGCGGAACAAAACTGAATGGGGAATATATGTGAACATCCATTTTCAAGTCTTAACCCTGATAATTAAGTTGGTTTTGGTTTGAACACTGACTGGCCATTTTAAACACTGAAACATCAATTTTTTTTGAAGCCATGTTATTTTTCCAAGACATTCCTGGATATATTGAGCAAGAACCAACCATGAGCCCAAAAAAATATATATATAAAAAAAAAACATGAGAAGTGCACTGCCAGCCTTTGGCCCACATATAAAATGGTATGAGTGCGAAGGGAACACAGAAAATGTGATGTTGGTCAGATTAGACATGCATGCAAAACAGTAAGTGTGGTTTAAAACTAACACTGAACATCACCCTGAACACATAATCCCCACAGTGAAACTAGTTTTTTGACAGCATCATACTGCGGGTATGACCCTCTTTGGCAGGCACAAGAAACTTTGTTGATGGGATGGAGGATGGAGCTAACTACAGATTTAGTAGACATACTCTTTCCATTTTCAAATGTTGGAACAATGAGAGCTTATTGAGATGATCAAATCTCAAAATGTTTTTCTGCTCTGTTACAAGGTCTAAATAATCCTGTTTGTTTTGCTAATATTCTAGGATAAACCTCAGTTTCTCTTCTGAATAGCTCTGACTTATGAAAGGAAGTGGTTCCATTGTAGTACCGGTATATTTAAAGACATCAGAGTTGAAGGGGAACAGTAAAAATCATTTTTGTTTGGATGTGTTTATGTAAAAACAATCCAAGCCTTAAGAAACTTCCTTCCACTTCACATTTATTCACTACTAGTTATCACAAAAAAATTCCAATGCAGCACAGTGCTGTTTGTGATTATAATATGGGATTAAGAACGTTTCAAGGAGTGAAAATGCTTCCGCAAGGCACTGGGTAGATCTGTTCCTGCTGAAGGAACAAAGTAAAGGGCACTTATTTAATAGTTTCCTGGTTCTGCGTGTGTACTCACAGCATACAGACTTACAACATTTTCAAAAAGGACACTGAAAGGTTTCAGCATTTGAGACACATTAAAGACCTTTGTTTTGAGGGTGTGAGTGTGCTGTGTTTATGTGAAGTCCTGAAACATTAGACTGTAAAGCTTCAAATAGTGCTCTGCTGTCTTTGTTTATTTACTCGAGCATTACAGAGCGGTTGGGGCCAAGTTTCCCGCTTGGAGGTAAGGCAGCACAGGCTTTTATGGCGGAACACATCTGCGGTGCGCTGTGGGGCAACCAGGCCCTGGACACATGGGCCAAATGGGTCTGTTTGGAACTTTGGATACCAGTGGTCTTTAGCGGGATGATGAGAACCAGTCGCTCATAATCATTTCCAACATGAGCCCCTTTCAAGAGCTAATGCACCACAGAGCCTCACCGGTCACCAGAAGAGGAGAATGATACTTATGGATAGAAAACAGGCTCTTCTTTTTTCTGTGTTGTAAAAAAAAAAAAAAAAAAGGAATGCTAAAACCAGTGAAGAAAGGAGCGAAAATGAAAAGTCTTCCGTTGTAAATCTGGCTGAGATCTGTTGTGTGCACATCTGTTTCATCTAATGGAAACTTGAAGCCCAGCAGACTGACCTCCAAGCATGGTGGCCCATTTATTTAAACTAGTTAAATGATCATACTAAAATGATACTACATATTGAGGTAATTTCCCAGCTATTGGCTTGAACAGGTATATTTTAAGCACTTGCTACATTTACAGAGCCTTGTAAAAAATCGCAACTAAAAACACACCTGTTTAGAATTGTTTTTGAAATGTAATATGTAACAATGTATTGTCTATTATATGTTGCATGACTTTGTGTTCTTGTGTTTATGATGTAAAGCACTTTGAAATGCCTTGCTGAAATGTGCTATAAAAATAAAATTTGATTGATTGATTGATTGATTGATTGTAAAGGTTTTCATACCCTTTCAACTTTTGTCAAGTTGCAACCACCAACTGAAGGAAAAACAATAGATGGTTTCCAAAAGTAAAAAATAAAATAAAAAATCTTGAAAATGTTGCATACATTTTTCTTAAAATATGATGAACAAAATGCAACTGATTGCTTTCAGCAAACCAGCAAATAGAGTCCATCTCTGTGGAGGTTAATTTCAGGATATAGCCAGTAATTCTATGAAAGCCTTAAAAGTTTTATAGAGGACAATAAACATGTAAACCAAGGAACACAACAGACCGGCCACAGATAAAGCTCTGGAAAAGATAAAAATAGGGATAGGGATGAATAAATTGTCAACAATACGTGGCATTAACTGAAATTTTTTTGTTTAAGGATATCTTCCATTAAATCTGACTGAGCTTTAGCTATTTTGCAAAAAAGAATTGGAAGAATTTTCAGTGTGTTAATATTCAGGTGCTGAACAGAAAAATGCATGACCCACTTTTATTTTTAAATCTTTTGACAAAATGTGTAATTTTTCTTCATTTCAAACTATGCTCTTTTTGAGTTTGTCTATTAGATAAAATCTCAGCTGTTGTTGATTGTCATGTGATAAATATTGAAAACCTCCACTGGGCTTGAAGAAGTTTGTGAGGGGCTACAGATCCGTACTTTTGTACTGAACGCGCTAATGTGTATTCTCTGTTTTTATCTTTGTTATGTTCCTAGAAAACAGCAGCACTGATCAGAAGCAGGCGTGCAAGAAGCATGAGCTCTACGTCAGTTTCCGTGACTTAGGATGGCAGGTATAAAAACAATCCTCGCCAAGATTACTTGGAACTGTAGAAATTGGCACAAAGTCCAGCAATTCACTGCCCTAAAATATAAAAATGTGACTAGATTAAAACATGTTTTGTTTCTTTCTGGAAACATGAGGAACTCACTCAGTGAACAAACTCGCATCTGGGGTTTAATCTTATCTTAACCTTTCTGTTTTGGGCAACTTTGGGAAGCCATTTTTGTTACTTTTTTTTAAGTTAACAATGTCACGTTTTGTTACGTCATGCAATGTTTGGATTTTCCATCCAGGTATTGTCATGACTTCTAGAAATAAACATCTATAAAAAAAACTATCTCACAAGTTCTCTGAGTCAGTTTCCTGACAAAAATGCTTAACAAAAAGGACAAGAAAACCCATAAGTCTGTCTGGGCTTCTCTTGTCATTTTCTCTTAGGACTGGATCATTGCTCCAGAAGGATATGCTGCATATTACTGCGAGGGAGAGTGTGCCTTCCCACTCAACTCCTACATGAACGCCACAAACCACGCTATTGTACAAACACTTGTGAGTAGCTGTAAAACCAAGGAAGAAAATGCAAGACATGTGCTGCCTTAGATCTCTCATCACTTATTTGGCCGTGCAAGGTTTGGGACACAAACACTGCAGGCTCAGATTTTCTGGGGCATTAATCAGGAAAAGCTGAGATTTATGTGTAAGAGATGTTGTCATAACTGACCTCCTCCTCCTCTTCCTCTCCCTTCTAGGTACATTTTGTTAATCCTGAGACGGTTCCCAAACCATGCTGTGCACCGACACAGCTCCATGCCATTTCTGTGCTCTACTTTGACGACAGCTCCAATGTGATCCTGAAGAAGTACCGCAACATGGTAGTCAGAGCTTGTGGCTGTCATTGAGCCACCAGCATCTTCACAGGGATGCACATAATACGCACATAATGAGAGGAGAATCAACAGGGAGCTCATTTAAAATGCTGCAGGATAGCAGAGTAACTTGTGCATTTCGTGTAGACACATTATTGTGAGGCCAAACATTTAAAGGGGCAATTCAACTCTGAGTCTTTTTAAAACAAAAATAAACATGTAATTCCTGGCTATACTGTCATTTTAAGTAGCAAATGAGAAAGACCATAAGTAAAAAATGAAGCAAATATTTACAAAGCAAATTCAACTTAAAAAAATGAGTTAGACCTCAGAAGATGTTCATTCAGCTATTTATTTTTTAAACAAAAATGAAATTATGATCACTACTTAAATTACAAATATATTTCCTTTGTTCTTTACTGTTTTTCACTGATGAAAATCAATATTATTTATCAATTAATTCTTTTGTTAAGAAATTTGCAGATCACCTCTTCTCGTCACCTCCTTTTCTTTGAACTGTTTTAATCTGAAACTGTTAAAGGCTGTTTATTTGTCTGCCATATCACTCGTTAGTTCTCTTCCGTATCTTGTTAAATACTGTGGACAACCCGCTGTACCAACACAGAACTTTTTTAATTTAAAATTCCATTTGTACTCAGTTTATTTTCACCGCCACAGGATAAAGTCTTAACAAGCCACAGAGATGAAGCAGCAAACTAATGTCCTCCTTTGTGATTCTCCAAACAAGATACAATAAAGATACAATAAAGAGGGACAGAGAGCAAGTCCACTTGTGTGCTTTCCTTTCAAATCTTCACAATTTATTTGTTTTTTTCTGTCTTTGCTTGCTACCAAGATGCTACAACTTGCTAAGGTCTGCAAGAACTTGATGCTACAGGTTCATATTTGAATATGCAGAAGTACAATGTCATGAGTTGTAAAACTTTATCTTAAAAATAATTAATCAAACCATTTTACCTAATCTGATCAGCTTTCTATTTTATTTATATCTGTGATCTTTCTTAGTTTTATTTTTCTTATAAAGCTGAATGAACATTCTCAAAAAACGTGAACTTCACTTTTAAGTTTGAGGCTAATGAGAATAAATTACTTACTTTATTTGAAGGTGGACATTTCCTAATATGACTTCTTCCCATAAATGCACATCGACATACAAACACAATCATGTTTGTGCTTTCTACTGTGTGTACAAGACACATAAAGCATAGACTGTACTGTATAATCGTTTATTCACCAGCAACCATGTGTTATCTTAATGATTATGATAACCATTGTAGTTTATTATGTTTACCGTATATAAGAATATGTGGCTGATAGAGGAGGATAGAGGACTCTTTATTCCCTCAATGTACAATACTGTGTAAATATTTTTTTTTTCCAAAAAAACCAAAACAAAAAAAGACAAAAAGCAAGTGTATTTATTTTCTGCATTACGATTTGGATTTGTTTATTTTATTTTCCTGTATAAAATGCTGTATTATTTTTTAACATAAGCATTGCCTCATTTATTAGGAACATTTTTAGAAATACAAATAGCTGTTTCAAGCATCTTTTTCTGTGTGCTCAACATTTTCAGGTTTGTATTTCTCTGCTGTAAGACAATCTGTTGTATTTAAAAATAAACACCTATTTATTGAGAGCAGGCTAAGCTCTTCCAAAGTGGGTTCCAATTTTTCAACTGTTTGACTGCAGAACTGTCACAATAAAATTAGACAAAAGGCAACAAAACTGATTAGTGACATATTGTTTCACGTGACAAATATAAAGGGCAAATATCTTGACCCTGGGACAATCCACTCTTCGCTATTTACTTTGTACAGAAGATCTGGACTCTCAGCTATTGAGAAAAGATTGATTCCTTGAGGCATGGACTCTGTTATCCAATCACTAACTTCTGTGGCATCTGTAATGTTCCCGTTTGATGCTATGAAACTTACCAGAAATTTCTTGTTTTGTAAACAACCATCCATCACTGTGAATAGAGAAGGGCTGAGTCGAACGACATGGACTGAACGGCTTTGTTCACGTCATCCACTTGAGGCAGAGTCCCATAAAAAAGCAGAAAAATTACATTCTTCTCAACTTTCCCTTCGGTTTGCTGATTTTCCCAGTAGATATTCTACAGAATAAAAACAAGTGAATGGGAAAAAGCCATGTGAAGCAAGATCTGAATTGAGCAGAACTGCATATAGTCAGGCTAAGATGGCATATAACTTCCACAAATTATACCCTGAAATTGTAACTTCTCAAAGTCTCAGTCATTTTAATTTTAAAGATGTGCTTCAAAGATGAAGAAATTACTCATGAAACACAGACTTTAAGTAGTAGTGTAAGGCTTGTAAGGCGAAAGAAGTGGACACAAAGTCTCAGCATTTGAGCTCAGAATATAGAGATCTACATAGTGATTGGCCATCAGGTTGGATGAAGCCTTTGACAAACTCATCTGTGCAAAGAAACAAAGTAAAAATGGCTAAAATAACAAGGAACTGTTGCAGCTGAAATTGAGAATTATTAAGCAAGGCAACATTTAGTCTAGTCTATCTGCAACCAACAATGTAATGTTAAAAAAAGTCATTTCAATGTTTTTGTTTCCCCATTCCAATAGCCAATTTGAACTTCAGCAAGTAGTCTTCACCGTGTCCTGTTCACTAAATGCAAATGTGATTGGCTGACTCGATGCTTGTGTTTACAGGCAGTAAAACAGGTGTCGGATATGAAGTTTTTACTCAATAGTTTACTATTATGTGAAAACGACACAGCTCTATGCTGCCATCTGCTGGTAGAAACTGCCCAGTGTGTTTGTTTGTCATCTAAATGAGACTTGCAGTTTCTTTTCCTATTTTTTCTGTCCCATCTTACGCCTACTGCGAGCTGAAATGAACACTTAAAAGAAAGGTCTTTAGGTAGGAAAGGTGGAAGACCGTCTGAAAGAAAACGAAAAGAAACAAAAGAAAAAAACAAGTTTGTCCACCCACATACTTTCATTTTCACAGGAACGTTTCGTTATGAGTGGCTGCGTGTGCTTGCTTAACTGCGTGCGTGTGTGTGTGTGTGTGTGTGTGTGTGTGTGTGTGTGTGAGGGGGGGGGGGGGGCGGTTTTATTATGTTCTCCTCTAAGCGCTAATTTACAGGCGAGTCTCTTTTTCTCCATTAGCATATGTAATTATAACACCTTTCATATTTTACGTTTTCCTTTTCCTGCTTTTAGGATAAGTTTTATTTTTCCTAAATTATTCTAATGAAAGCAGACATCGATGGGATATCTGCTACATATTTTCCCACTTCATTTTAGTTTTTGGCTTCTCCTTTTGAACAGCATTCCACCAGATAGCCCAGTCAAGTTTACCTTACTTGGAAATGATCAAATGTTCTAAAGAGCAAAGTGGGGAAACCGAAAGCATAAAAATAGCTTCAAAAGCTTTCGCTTTCGCTTGTGAGAGCGCTCCGACGTTTCGTGTCGACTTCTCCATTTAACTTTCCGATGAACTCAGTAGGTGTAAAACCGACCGGCTCCATTGGCTGACTTCTTATTGTACTTTTGCCCCCCCACCACCACCTATTTGCTAGAAGGGGAACTCGAGTGGCGTGATAAACCAAAAAGAAATACAGACGTCTTATGTTTGCAAAAGTGGCGCAAAAACTACCCGGAGCTGTCCTGAACCGCGGGCCGTTCTTCCTGTGAGACGCAACATGTGCTGAAGATGGATGGAGCCAAGTTGCACCTGAAAGAGTGGCTGGTTGCTCAGATAGAGAGTGGGAAATATGAAGGCCTGTCCTGGGAGGACGAGGGCAAGACTATGTTCAGGATCCCCTGGAAGCACGCAGCCAAGAAGGATTACAAGCAGACGGAGGATGCGGCTCTCTTTAAGGTCGACACTGTTTTTATGTTTCACTTTCCGAAAAGCCTTGAGTTACTGAGGCTGATTGTTTCACTGTGCTCTGAAATGGGGAAAGCGTTGCTTTTCCTCCGATTGGCGAGGAGTCCCAAAAATGAGTTCAATTAAAAATCCTACTCAGAATCTATCATTACCCTATAATGATTATAGGCAAATTTATGAAATGTTTCACTTGGGCGTCGCAAGCATATCTTTTGGAATATTTATTCTGAAATCCCGTTGTATTTTATTTTCGTATCCAGGACGTTTTAAAGGTGAATAAGGGGTTTAAGTCCGCTGGGGGGGGAAGCAAGATAAAAATCCAAGAGGTAATAAAAACTGGCCGTTAAAAAAAACAAAAACAAAAACAAAAAAAACAAAAAAACAAAGTGATTTAAAGCGTGTTATTATTATTATTTTTTTCTACTTCCATTTATGTTTAATAAAATACATAAACCAATATGTGGAATACTTACATCAAATCAAAAGTATCTACTGACTAATATTTGGGCTAAAAAATAAACAAAAAGCTTTTAAAGGACAAGAGTGAAAGTATTCCTTGTGCTTATTTAAACATTAAATATCATTACTTTAATGCATCAAATGTCTCTAATTTGGACAACTTGGGTTGGTTGTCTTTAAATAAATCTGGGAAAATTAGACAGGATTTTTCTTTTCATTGTTTGATCTGTTGATCCATAATCAGAACTAATTAGGGAGAAATTGTCATATTTTGATCTCTAACTGAGTGGTTGATCTCCTTGAAAATCCTGCTTTGAAGTGTGATGTGATATGTTAATGTGTTGTTTTCCAAGAACTAGGAGGGAATGTTTACATATTCAAAAAATGAAATCAAAATTGGTTTTATATTTTTTGCTGTTTTTTAGTCTGATTTCTTTGGATTCAAATATACCATGATTGATATTATTAAAGCTAATACGATGATTAAAAAAAAAAAAGAAAGAAATTATGTTCTCTACTTCTCATTGTATTACACAGTATGTGTTTTTGGGATAGTTTTCTGAGTCAGTACTTTTGTGCACAGGCCTGGGCTGTGTATAAAGGCAAATACAAGGAGGGCAGGGATCGAGCTGATCCCACAATGTGGAAAACCCGACTCCGTTGTGCCCTTAACAAGAGCACCGACTTTCAGGAGGTTCCTGAACGCAACCAGCTGGACATCACTGAACCATACAAGGTCTATCGAATTGAACAGGATCTCGGCCTCTCAAAGCCAGGAGGTAAAAAAACCCAAAACAAAATAATTGGCTTTTGTCAAACTGATTTTCTGTTTTGTGTTTGGTCTCACTTGTGCTTGCCACTTCCCTCTCTCACAGCACATCCTCAAACAAAATATGTATACAAGCAGGTGAAGTTATCTCCAAGAAGCCCTGGTTATCTGGAAAATCAGGTAAGATGAGAAATACACTCCTGTAGACAATGAGACAGTAATTATAAAATGTGTCTCAAGGCACAATGAATACTTTTGGTTTGCATGGACGGTGTGAGTGGTTTGTTTGGTTGGAGTGGTAAGGAAAGACAGTCACTTCTGACAGTTGATGAATAATTTAGAGTTTCACAAAGAGAATATATCATGAGTCATTTTAAGGTGAGTGACAGTAAAAAGAGATAGTCAGCTTTTTAATTTAACAGTAGTACTTAACTTGAACTGCAAGTCCTCTTCCATCTGAAAACATATCTTTAGGCTAGGAAAGAGAAAATCTCAATGATGAAGTCTTCCTGCTCCAATCTTTATTAGATGCTTCCTTAACTTTAGTCTCTGTTTTTTTTTTTTTTTTTACTTCAGTGTCAAAAGGAAGAACTGCAAGCTCACAAAGAAGAAAAACTATGTGCTGGTAAGAGTTACTGACACAAATATGCTAGAAATTACTCTTGACCGTAATGCACATCTGCAAATTCCACTAAATGAATATCACTGAAAAGTTAAATTGTTTCAGTGACTAAATTCAAAAAGTGTTCTTCATTGATCAATTACAGGTATTTGTTTCCTTTAGTTTGCATAATCGATGAAAACTCAAATTGTAGTTTCTCTAAAAATTAGAATAACACATAAATTAACTTTTCTGCATTGAACCCCATTTTTTCATTCTACCAAATTATTGATTTCTGAACTCTTGAGTTTAAACATTAGAATTGTTGTTTCTAAATGAATATACAATTGTTTTCTTTGCATTATTTGAGGTCTGAAAGCACTGCATCTTTTTTTGTTATTTTGACCATTTCTGCAAATAAATACTATATTTTTGCTTGGAATTTCAAAGACATGTCAGCAATTCCCAGAACAAAAGAACAATGTTAATTTTACTCAAACAAATATATATAAAGAGTAAAATCAGAAAAACTGATACATTTAAGTGGTCTCTTAAGTTTTTTTTCCAGAGGTGTATATTTCCATCATCTATCACAACTGGGTGTTTGTGCACAAATATCTATGGGGAGATGTTCTTGGTCTTTCTCTCCTCTTCTTAAGTTAAAACAACTGAACAACTCTAATGCAATATTTTAAGTTAGGTTTCACTTCCGGTTTTGATTCTGATAGGTTCTGTTATTGTGCAACATGCACTGGTTTTCAAATGTCAGGCAATTCACTCTCAAAGCAGATATACATGTTTGAAAGGTGATATGACACATGCAAGGTAATGAGGTAAATGATTTTTCTATTCTGTTTTATTGTCAGCAAAGTTTAACTTTTAGAGAGTGGATTATAGTCATAAAATAAGCACAACAGCGTACCTGCTAGTTAATAGCTGGCGACGGGCACCAGCACCTCCCGTCCCCACTAGGGACAAGGGTGTAAGAAAATAGATGAATGGATGGGTA